TACTTGTCTGCAAGGCCAGGATAGTGAACAGGGTCCTGAAAAGTAGAACCGTTGTAGGTATTTAAAATACGTCCGTACCAGAATGGTCTCGCAAGCGAGGCTGGCACGGTTCTGAGCAAGCAGCTCTACTCTGAAGTCTGGCATTCAGTAAGATCTCGCCCAGTTCAGAACCCCAGAAGTGCAAGCAGCTCCCGCACCCACACACTCGGGAAGGTCCATACACACGGCCGCACATGATGAAGAGCCAAGTGAATACGTAGGTCACTGACTTCCAACATCTTTATGTTTCTTATGATTTTCTCACGTGCTTTCCTAAATGATTCGAAGACTTACAAACCAATAACACAGGAAGATAGATGCTAAGGAAATGAAGCGGAAAGGAAGAGAATGAATAAACCAGAAAAAAGTCAGAGTCAAAGCAGACCATTGTCAATGAGCACGAAACTCTGCTCTACCTGGCGAACCCCGGAAAAGGGACATGCAGGGGCTGCACCCCTCCCCAGCCCCATAGCAGGTGGCGTTCCGGGCTCAGGGGGAGCACTTCTCAGGGCTGAGGGCAATGAGTCATTTGGGTCCTTCCACCAGACCTTAACCAAGACACCTAATGGTTACTGTTTACATTTTAAAATTTTAATAGAAAATTAAAGCCAACAAAGGTTATTATTTTTAATAACAGAGTAGTGACTAGAGGAAGCTGAATTGAAGGTACAAGACTACAAGGTGGAAGCTTTAAGTGATATACACTTGATTCACCCAAGAAAGTGTATTAGTTTGCTACTAATTGGAGGAGTCTACAATTGGCTTTATTTTTCTCTTTTGATTACATGGTGACAATATGTCACTTATATATGATTTCAAGCTTCTATTCTCAAAGATTTGATAAAACTCTCTGGTTCTTAGCTGTTCTCAGCTGTAATGAGAAGACACTTTCAGAAGCAAGGATAAGAGAGAGCTTTGTGCCTCTTATTCAAACGTCAAAGGCATGAAGGTAAAAACCTCCAAATGGGAAGAAAGGCTTCACTGAGGGAAAATATATTCAAATCATGACAAGTTTTCTGCATACTATGTAGACACACAACAGGGAAGAAACAAATTAACTGAGTGGCGTTAAACAGAATCCGGCACAGCTCTGTGCTCGACTTGCAATTCTTCCCCAAATTCACACTCATCAGAAGACAGCCCGATGGAGCCCCGCGAGTCCACGGGTTTCTAATTCGGTTTGTCTTTTCTATTCCACAGCTACTGGGCAGGGGGCCGTTGCCTCCACTTGGGTATCACCAGAGTCCCCAGTACTGGGAAAGCTAATACACAGTCAGTTCCATTTACCATCGTCTTCAGAGTCTGTGACACCTTCAGGTAGAACTTGAAGAGGAAGCTGACGATGAGAGTCCTCTTGAACTCCACCTGTCCGCCCGGAGCCCCGCCTGGAAGGGAGACTTCATCCAGAACCAGCCTGCAAGCTGCATCCAGCATCTCTTCATTCCAGGGCCTGCGGGAGTCAGAAGAGCAGACTCCTGGCTGACAGGACTCACTGCCTCACAGGCTCAGCCAGCGTGTGAGACACAGAGCCACAGTTTAACAAAGGAAATAAGAATACAGGCTTCCCAGTCGGGCAACCCCAGCTCGAGTCACAGTCACCCTCTCAAGGCGTCGGGCCTGGGCCCGCCCACCACTTCCTCAGCTGCAAAAGGGAATAATAGGAGAACCCACCTCAGGAGGGGTCATGAGCAGGGAAGGACAACCCGTCTTGAGGCCTTAGGCCAGGAGTAACTGACCCTGTATCACATTACAGAACATGCCAGAATGTTACTGAGTGCCAGGCTCTGTATTAGGCCTTATATGTATCCATTCATTTAACCCTCTCAACTGCCCATGAGGTAGGGATGATTATCCCGCTTTGACGGATAAGGAATCTGAGGTACTGTAGGTCAAGCAAGCTGTCTGAGATCACGTAAGTAATGGACGTTGAACTGAGATTTGGACCCAGGCGTTTGGCTCATTCAAGTCCATGCTTTTAACCATTGCTCTCTATTATTTCTGAAATGGTAAACACTACCTGGTAAATGCTCAAGAAATATAGGCAATTAGTATTATCTATAGAAATAAAAAGTCAGGTAAGCAAATGCATTTAGCCATTAATTAGAAAAACAAACTCCCATAACCTATTTTTCATTATGGCAAATCATTCTCTCACGATAAAGAATGAAAATTTACTCATTTTGCTTACTGTGTCCATGTACTACTGGGAGATGGGCTCTTGCTCTCTCTTTCTCTCCCCCCCCCTTCACACACACACACACATACACACAAATGCACACACACACAGACTATAGGAAGCCCACTTCAGAAATCACTAAAATCAAGACACATGGAAATAATTATGAAATCTTATTAGAACTCCACGCCATTAAATAAAAAGGTAGTAAGCATTTTTCTCTTGTTATTGCACGTCACCACAAAAAGAGCTGCTCCGTTACTCGGAGTCTCCTGGCACGACGCCATACCTTCCGATGAGTTTCTGGCAGGAATTCTTTGCACAGACGGTGGTTGGACCCACGCCTCCGTATGCGATGGATAACTCCCTAATGATGCCATCTCCTTCTCCAAAAAAGACTCTCATTCCCGAATTGACTATCGCAAGCGCATTCTGCTGCCGCTGGGCTTGTCGGAAGGCTGACACAAATTCCCACTGAAAGCACAAGTCAAGTGGCACATGTAGAAACACAAGAATGATGACTATGCCCGGCAGTTTACGTGTGTGGCCTCACACGTCCTTGTCACACTCACTGTTATGGGCTGAATTGTGGCCCCCCCCCCAATCATATGTTGAAGCCCTAACCCCTAGTACCTCAGAATGTGGCTGTATTTAGAGACAGGGTCCTTAAAGTACTAATTAAGTTAAAATGAGGTCATTACGGTGGGCACTAATCCAACATGGTGGTGTCCACATAAGAAGAGGAAATTTGGACACTGGCATGAACAGAGGGAGACTCTGTGAGGACACAGGGAGAAGATGGTCACCCACAAGCCAAGGAGAGAGGCCTCAGAGAGCCCAACCCTGCCAACACCTTGATATTAGACTTCTAGCCTCTAGAATCGTGAGAAAATAAATGTCTGCTGTCTAAACCCCCAGTCTCTGGTTCTATTTTACAGCAGCCCTAGCAGACTAATACCCCTTCGAGGCAGGCTGGATTATCCCCATGTCACAGAAGAGGGCTCTAATGCTTGGAGGGATTCGGTAATTAGTTCAGCGTCACAGTGGATCTTGACACCAACATTCAGTCTTCAGTCTGACTCCAAGCCCTTCTTCTTTCCACAAAGCTCTATTGTAAATGTATTTTTTTAGCTTCTTTCAAACCCCAAGATATAGGTAGAAGTATATTTTCTAATCTTATTTAGGAAAAAGCCTCATGGGAGAAAGAATTTTTAAGAATCTGTAACAAAGTAACTTTTGAGTTTGCTTTGGGGAAGGGAGACAGAGAGAGAGAGGGAGAGAGAGGAGATGGCAGAGACAAAGGTCTCCTGATTCTGGGAATGATACATAACACAAGTGAAAAGTGACTACTCACAAGTCCTCGGAATCCCTCCTGTAAACACTCAACGCCTTCTCTTAACCTCCATGTGTTGGAATTCACAGCCGCAGGCTCATAGGTAAAACCAAGAAATCGAAAGGAACTCTCACCTTCCTTGAGTAGGGGATGTTCACTGAGACCAAGATTTCTTCAGGCTTAAGATCCGCTCTGGGGCACTTCTTGAGAAACTGCTCATTTAAAGGAATCTGTCGTTCTCCTTCTGTGGAAAGAAATGACACCTTCCCTGGAATCTGTTCCATTAAACAAGCAAACTTCTAAAACTTTGGAAATAATTCTACCAAACACCTGAGGAACCTGACTGTTTAGGAAAGGACGGACTCTTCCTATGCTCACCAATCTCTCACCTACGATGGTACCTTACAGTGACTCCTCCAGTCGAGGTCCCACCTGTTTTTTTTTTTCCCCTTCTTTGCTTGCTTTTAAATAAAAATACCTAGCAGAGTAGCCTGGAGGTCAGTAGAACAGGACCTGAGCAGTCCTCTTCCTGAACAGCACAATTCATTTTGAGCTTTACAATTAGGGAGTAGATATTAATATTTCTTTTGATATTTTGATCAAGTCATTCAACAAACATTTATTGTTTATAACCAGGAACACTACTAGGTACAGTAGTGGATAAATAAATTGCCTTTAATGAATACACTAGTGAGTAGCTGTCTTATTTGTTTTTAATCGTTCCATCATCTAAAAAATTTCTATTCTTTAATCAATATATTGAGGAGAGGAATCATTTAAAGCTATAACAAAATATGACATTGGGATGAAAGCCAAGACGCTTTTGATGTTTATATTCACATGACAACACCTATTCCTCATCATATGACTTTTTTTAAGGGGATGTTACTTAAATTTATAAGTCTGAATGCAAATCTTGCTCCTTAAGAGAATTTTGTGGTTTAGATGATATGAAGAGAAGGTATTTAATAATGCAGGTAATAGAAAGCTAGTCCATGTTTTTAAATGAAAATAAAAACAGATGTATGGAGGACCAAGTAAGACTTCCTAATAGTTTTTAGCCAAGTTGTAATAAGAGAAATAAATTAAATTATGGACTTAGTTTCAAAAACAAAACTCAAATAAATAATGAAGCCCAACCATTGTTCAACAGAAAAAGTTCTCTAGGCTTCCATCAATGACCAATTAAGGATGAGCACACAGCATGATGTGGGTGCCACAACACTCCGGTACCACCTGGAGAGAGTCTTCAACAAAGGGCCCAAAGGTTCTCAGCAGCCTCTAGTTCTCTTCACTGCTCAGATCACATTGGGACATGCACATCGCAAGCACGGTCAATGTAGGGCGACCAGGATGGGAAAATTTCTAGCACCAGGCCTCACAAAGAAGAGGATGAAGACATTGGGAGTGTGTGGAATTAGGACCACGCTGACCAATGTTCCAGCATCCAGACAGGCAGAGAGAGTTACTGATATTACAAAGAACAGTCATTTTCACAACTGGACCTCCTGCCTCCCCAGAGAGAAAAAGGGCTAGGAGGAGCAGGTTTAATAATCCCAAGAAGGAGCTGTCACTCACCTTTTGACAGCAAGTTGAGGGTACAGTTGCCCACGGCCAGGAGGGGATTCAGATCTGAATCCAGATGCCTACTCACGATGTGGCCCCCTAAAGACTTTTTAAAATAATGAGTTATTTTCACA